TAATCTCCAAGATCAAACTCCTTTAAAGATCACCCTTGGTCATTTGTGTACATCTCAGCTCAGGCTGCCTTCGAAGAACACCACACACTGGGCAGGTCAAACAAACAGCCTTTTGGAGGCTGGACATCCAAGATCAAGGTGTTGGCTGGGTTGGACCCTTCTCAGACTTACCCTTGTGTCCCACAGTCTCCCCCCTGTGTGTCTCTGTGTCCTACTTTCTTCTCAGCAGGACACCAGCCCTAATGATTTCATTTAACTTAATTACTCTTTAGCAACCCTAATTCCAAATATTCTGATGTACTGGGTGGGGGTTAGGACTTCCCACAAATGACAGTCCATGACCATTTGAAATCAGAAATTTCAGATTTCTGAAGATTTGTGGGTTCCCATTATGGAATGGACTCTACACCCCAAAAGTCACAGCTGTTGGGACTCCTGCTAATGCCTAGAACTCACGTGAAAATGGAACAGTTCTTTCCTACAAGCTCTGAAAATAACACAGTCCCCACAGAAGCATGGCTTCTGTGCTCTAAGGCTAGCCTGTGGGGTTGTTCCCTGAGGGCCCTGTGACCCTTCCCCACCAGAGCCCCCTGGGGGCATTGGCCTCCCCTCCCTGCCTCACTCTGTTCTTATGCTTGGGGTGTGGGGGGAGTCACTCTGAAGACACTTGACAAAATAGGTCATGAAAGTGTTTTTATTTTTATGATCTCAGCACCAGATGCTTCCCCAGTGAGACTCCTCCCTTGAGTAGTGATAAACACTGCAAGTGGAAAGTCACTTTATTAAACCATAAATGTTTGCCACAAATCACCACTAAATTAGCCCATGGTGGAAGCTGTGCAGAAGCCTGGCCTGCTACTTTAACTCCAGGAGTTAGGGAGCGTAACAGCACACTTTGAACACTGTCATATTAGGCTTTGAGTTCAGGATGCCATCATGGGGCCCCACGGGTGGGAGCTGCTTCTCACAAACGCGCATGTGTACATCTTACCACAAGGATGCTGGTGTGGGGGAAAGGGTGGGGGGGCGGCGTGTGGGGTTGGCAGCCAGGGTGAGGATGTGAGGGTGAGGTGGGTAAAGGGGAAGATCTTTGTGAGCGCTGTTAATTCATGAAAGCCAGGTCTCGTGGGCCAGAAAAGGCTCTCAAAGTGTGCTGTCCAGCTGGTGTCGATGATTCTGGAAAATGCAATCCCAAACCCCAGAATCCCAAATGCCCCCCCCCCCCCCGGGAAACTGCTTGAGCAGTCTGTCTCCATCACAGTCTACCTGTGCAGCAGATCCCACTGCTGGAGACAAGACAATATGGCCTGACCTCACCGCGTGAGCCTATCTCCCCTCCTCCATAGCCTGCATTTGAGCAACAGCCCTGAGACCCAGTGCTGCAAACCAAGCCAGTAGCCCCTCCCCAAGGTGTTCCTGAGAAGCCCTTACTCTCTCTTGGACTCTGTTTCTTCAGCTTAAAATGGAGGAAATTAGGTAAATGAATGGTTGTCGAAGTATATCCCATGGATCCCTAACAGAAGGCCCACAGCGACCCCTGATCCAGAGGGAGTCTAAGTGGATAAATCCCAAACTCCCCTCACTTCCACCTGAGTTTCACCTTTACCTATTTTGTATGCTGTGGTGTTGGAGGGATTTTACTTTCAAAGGGATCTGCAGTCAAAAACTGTTAGCTGTCAACTTAGTAGTGTGTGAGAGGTTTCTGATTCAAAACTTCAGGAGGCTGTGAAGTTGGGGACTTTGGGACCAGAACAGGCCTTTGGGAGGGAAGCTTTCTTCTCCAGCTGCTCCTTAGAGCACCTCCTCTGAGGGCCACCCATACCTGTCAGGTGGTGGGGTCTTTTGACTTCACCTTGTATCATAATTAGCCCAGTGTCCATTGCTTGTTACCACATCTGACGACTCTTGTGTCCCCTCTGGAAGCCATGGTAAGTCAGAACAATGAGGACACATCGCTTCTCTGGTTCTCACGCCTGTGCCCAAAGCAGATGCCACCAGTCCCTGGCTCTGCTGTGGATCGTGGGTGGGGCTCAGCACCCTTTTCCTCTGTGCTCCAGGCAGCCACTATCCGTCGAGAGGCAAAATACAACCGGTTTGCAGTGACTTTCTCCATCTCTCGCTCCCGGACAATGTGGGGCAGGCCTTGCTGTGGCTTGTTCAGATGCTCTTTCAAGCATTTCCCTTCCTGTTCAGGGGTAACTTGGGGGAAATTTCTGTTTGCAGTGGCTCATACCCAGGATGACGCCAATAGTTTTCCTCTCTAATATCCCCTTCCAGGGTCGTCCCCTCCCACACTGAATAGTGCTGACCTAGTGACCAACCAGATATTTTGGAAATGATAGCGTGACCTCAGCCTCTGGATCATACAAGACTGTGGTTTCCACCTTGCTCTCTTAGACCCCTCACTGCAGGGGAAGCCAGCTGCCATGTTCTGAGGTCACTCAGGTTGCCCCACGGGGCACCTTCCACACAGTGAAGGTTTGAGGCCTCCACCCACAGCCAGGACTTAACCTGCCAGCCATGTGAGTGAGGCCCCACGAGGGTGGATTCCCCAGCCCCCACCAAGCCTTCAAATGTTTACAGCCCCAAGACACCTTGACTGAACCTTGTGAGAGAGCCCCCAGATTCACCCAGTTAAGCCCTGTTTCAAATCCCAACTCACAGACACTGTGAGGTGATAAATATTTGTTGTTTTAATTTTCAAAAAATGTGGGGGTGATTTGTTATGCAGTCATAGGTAACTGACACAGTTTCCGAATCCACACCAGCTAAGGAGATCCCAACACATAAAAGACACACAGGGTGACACTTCGGACTTTCACAGATCTGCCTAAGCAGAGGATAATTGGCCAAAACAGGGCCGGCTGTTAGTAAGCAAACAGAGTGGGAGCGTTTTTGACGTGACTCAGTCTTACCCCGTGCTTCCTCACTACGGCGTTTATTTTCCTTCTGCCTCTGTCTGTATATCTCTGACTGTATTTATTAATTGTAACCAGAGGGCCGCAAATTCTCTCACCCCAAAAGTTAATCATCTAAAATAACAACAGAGAGGCCCAAATAAAGAGAAAAGACTGAATAAAAGGAGGAAAAATAAACATTTTGGTTTCTCATTGCCTTCTCTCTTTTTATTAAAATCTTTGCTCATCATGATTGTGAATCTTGAACTCTAATGAGGCACCAGCATTACCGTTGTTTATTACTTTGATGGGAGATTTTTTATTGTTTGTTTGGGCTGAAGCCCAGTCATAGATTTACCACTTTCCTCATGACCAGCCTTAAAATATTTGATTTAAGCTGTCAGCATGCATATAACTCCAGATATCCTCACAAATGGAGATGCCAAGGAGGGCTGGAAAGAAAAAAAGTGAAGAAGAAATAATGGTGATAACAGTAAAACGGTATCTGTATTTACAAAAGAAAAGAAGTCACTAAAGAATCTGAAAAAAGGCAATGAAGGAGAGAGGGGCGGATGGAATGTTTTAATTAAATTAAAATTTAATCTAGAAAACCATCCTGCACTCAGACCTTCCTAAACTAAATTAAACCTTCTATGGGGTTTAATTCCTCCCTTTCTGGAAAATCTTCCACAGCTGATCCACAAATAATTTTCCTTGGAGAAGGAGGACCCCCATGACCACACAGTGAGTCTGTAAGGTAAGTGATTATCCTGCCATTAGCATTAATGATGGATTCCTGGGGTCCTAGATGAATGCCTGATAGCTGAAACCTGGAGTAGGGTGTGGACATGCATAGGTGGGCACACCTGAGCCAAGATACTGGGCATATAAGGCCAGGGCAGCAGAGGATGGTGTGGTGTGGAGTGGCGTTGTGTGCAGTACGGCGCAGTATAGGGGAGAACATGAGAACAGCTAAAACAACGAAGAGGCTGCTTGAACCAATGATGAACCTACCCGGTTTAGGATGGCTGCATTACAAAGTCCAATCACAGTGGATTATATGACAAGAATCAGTGATTCTCAACACCCATTTGCCTGCTGGGTGCCCGTCAGTAGCACCTGGTCAGCAAATGTTAACCAAGTGAGCAAGAGAATGAAAGCTTTTGTCCAGCAGCTCACCAGCACACTCAACCACAGGACCACCTCTGAGCCCGCCTGAGCCTGGCAAGAGAGACATTGTCATTCTCATTTTACAGATCAGGTTATAGCAATTCAGTAAATTTCCCCTGATCACAGGGCAGGTAATGAAGGGTAAAAAGCCAGGTGTCCTTATTCAAGTCCAGGGCCCTCTACGTTGCAATGAAAGTAGAAGAGGAAGGATGCACTTGAGAATAAGGCAGGGTTGGAGTTCAGGAGGCTACAAGGAGGCCGAGAAGGAGGCTTAGTCAACCCACCACTGGTTTGAACCCCTTGGAATCAACAGTTGTCCTATTGGAATGGCTTCTCAGCAACAAAACGCATCTCCCCCACACCTGCTGTGAATTCAGGATATTCTGTTCGCTTCCGCTGTGGAGGCATCTTTGATGCTGGGATGCTGTGAAGGAAGCAAAAAGAAAGCAGAAGCTCCCTCCTCTGAGCGGCCAGCCCAACTTCCTAGTGCTTGTTCCCTGGAAGCCTGCCAACCTTCCCCATTCCCTCATCACCACGCTCCCCTCCCCAGGTGTCACTCTCAAACTGGCTGTACACAGGGCTTACCTTTAAAAATACTGACATGTAGGCCCCTCCCTGGAAAGGTTTCAGTTTGCCAAAGATTGAGCGCAGCTGCCCCAAGGAAAGATGATGCCCTTTGGAAAGAAAGTTCCAACTTCAAAACCCTCAGGAAATACCCCAACGCTTCAGCATGGAAGGTGATGAGGATGGAAGTGGGGAAGGCTGTAGAGAACACACTGGCTCGGTCTTCAGCTCTAAAGTATAGGCTTTAGCCCCAGCACCTG